CTCTCCAGGTACACCACCTCCCTGGCCACGGCGAACTTCTGGGCGTCATGGGACAGGGTAAGGGCATCTTTCAGCCGGGTACCTGCTGGGCTTTGCCAGTCCACTCTTTGCCCATGTATGACCACAGGCCGGTTAGTGTTGGTCACTGTGTCACCCAGGAAGCTGGCAGGGATGCCCACCACAGCCCCAGCAGGGAGTCTCGGGAAGCCAGCACTCACAGGCTGGAAGGTGAAGGTGGTGAAGGCCTTGTAGCAATGATCTGATGGGAGGCCCATGTCCTGCAGCACCTCTTGGAAGAGTCTCTGTAGCTTTGGGGAGAGTGGGGCTGGCTGGCCCTGAGGCCAGTACTGGTACAGCCATCGAAGCACAGGATCTGGGAAGAGGTGGTAAGAGATTTGGGCCCCAAACAGGCCTGCACAAGAACCCACCAAAAGGCCTGTCCTGTGTCTCTGCACAAATGCTGCAGCCTGCCACAGGGGACCTGCCATGAATGCTGCCACTGCTATAAACCTGGGCCAAAAAAAAAGAGAAGTCAGCTAACAGTTCTCCAGGTCTGCCTGTGTAATGAACACCCCCCAGGGGCACATCCTTTTTAACTGGGGCAATATAACACAGTGGTGAGAGCATGGGCTTTGGAGCCTGAGTTCAAATCCCAGCTCCATCTCTCTGCATCACCCTCTCCATCTGCCAAATAAGCACATGGCAATGGCCCACCACTAGGGTGGCTGTGATGAGTAAATGAATGAACGCACATAAAACAATGTCTGGCACAGAAGCGGACACCCCTTGTAATATCTGCAATCATGACTTCTATTCTCATGGCTAGACAGAGCACTAAGTACTCAACTGACTCCACTATTCATCCCATAGTGAAGCGCTATAATCACTAATTTATAGATGAAACATGTTCAACTTACTGAGTACTACTGTATGCTAGACACAGTTCTGAGAGCTTTACATGTATTATCTCACAACTGAATGCTCACAACTACATGACCTAATAACTACTACTGCCCCTATTTTAAAGCAGTGGAAACAGAAGCACAGACAGGCTAAGTAAATTGGCCAAAATTCCAAACTAGTAAAGAGGCAGTGTTAACTGCTGACTTGTGTCCCCCTAAATTTCTAAGTTGAAGTCCTAACCCCCAGTATCTCAGAATGTGACTATTTAGAGATGAGGCCTCTAAAGAGGTAATCAAGATGAAGTCATTAGGGTAGGCACTCATCAAATATGACTGGTGTCCTTATAACAACAGGAGATTGAGACACAGATACAAACAGAGGAAAGGCTGTGAGAGGTTGACAAGCCATTGAGAGAAGCCGCAGATGAAACCAACCCTGCTGACACTGTGATCTTGGACTTCCAGTCTCCAGAATCATGAGAAAATAAATTTCTGCCACCCAGTACTTGTCATGGCAGCCCTAGCAGACTAATACAGGCACCATATTTGAACACAAGCTATCAGGCGTTCGCAGCAAACTTCATTTTTTAAAAAAAATTTTAATGCTAAATTGCAAACATACACAAAAGTAGACAAAATAGTACGTCAACTTCAATCAACTCATGGCCAATCTTGTTTGATCTACTCCCACCCACATTCCCCCTCCAACTAGTTTATATTGAAACACACGCTGGGCATTCCATTATTTCATCCATAAATATTTCAGTAAAAATTCACAATTACTTAACTTCGGTTGAAGCATACTGTTTTCCTGTGAAAATGTGCTTAATTAGCAAGTAAACTACTGCAAATAAGAACGCGGGGTACCACTTGGCCTATTTTAATCAAAAACTCCTTAAGAGTCACAAACCTTGCGCCTTTTACCCAATGCAGAAACTGAGGCTAGTAAAGGAAGGGTCCTAGCCAAGGTCCCAACGAGCCAAGACCACCAGCGCCAAGGCCGCGTGTCAGGTAGGCCTCGGAGGCAGTGCGAGGAGGGGCTGCAGTGCCCTCGCAAAGGGCTTCCGGCTCGGCTTCGACCCCGGCCCCCTAGGTTACTCCCGGGACTCGAACACGTCACCAGCAAGGAGCCTGGGGAGGAGGCCGGCCCCTAGAGTCCGCGCACCAACCCAAACCTCCCAGTGCGCTCACCTCCTCCGCAGCCGCAGCCAGGGACGCCGTGACACGTGCGCTGGGCGGTGCCGAGAGAAACGCACGCCAGCCCGGCGCTGGGGGCGGGGCCCGGCGCAAAGCACGCCGGCCCTGAGCACAGGCGCTCTGCGGGGCGGGGCGGCGGTGGGGCCGGTGGCGCGGGGAGGAGCCCGCTGGCTGCTCCGGCCCTTGCGGGAGGCTCCTCCCCAACTGAGCGCTCTGGGGCGGGTCTGCGACCCGCAAGGTCGTGCCCGTGGGTTGCTCACCCTGTTTAACTCTAGGAACCGGCGGCCCAGCGTGCGTTGTTAGGCGGCCTGTAGCAGAGCCGCCTTTGGAGCCCATGCTCGCCTGACTGCCAGGTCCGTGACCTTTCCTGCCTGGAAGCGCTCTTCGCCTGCGGGGTGCTCTGGGTTTTATTTTAATAACCACGTCCTCTGCGCTGCCCCCCTACCCCCAGTTTCTCTCAAGTGATCCACACTACAGTGTACAGAGCAGCGTCACATTTGTCACCTCACCTTCCCAGCAGCTCTATGAGAGTATGTCAGGCAGGGATGGGCTTGCCTGTGCACCAAGCCCAGCTTGCCACCTGTCAGCTTTAATAGCCACGACCATTCCTTTGCAAGTCATCTATGGCTGCTTTCACCAGAAGGACAGAGTTTAGTGATAACAGACAGCCTGGCCCAGAAAGCCTAAAATATTTACTAGTCAGCCCTTTACTGAAAAATTATTTGAGACCCTTGATGTAGACCAGGGGTCTGCACACTGCAGCTCAAGAGCCACATGCTGCTCTTTGGGTACGCTCTGTCTCAAAAGTCTGCCAACCCCTGGAAGAGCCAATCCTGTCCCTCACGACAGTTTAAAAATTTTTCGAGAGCCATAAATGTATTTTTACATAATCACCATTATGTGAATAATATCCTTTAAAATTTTTATAAATGAAACTATGATAGTTTTATTTTCATTTTCAATTTTACTTCAGAGCACATGTACGTACCCAAAGAGCTGCATGTGGCTTGCAAGCCACAGTTTGCTGACCCCTGGCAGCTCTTCCATCTCCAAAGTTTGCCAGCCCCCGAGTAGACTATTCCCATTTTATAGATGAAGAAACTGAGGCCTTTAGCTTGAGCAAGGTGCCCAGCTCCCATGCACCAGATCAGAACGGGACTCCTGTCCCTGTACATTTCCCATTATGGCTCCTGCTTTCATACAAATTCAACCTAGTGGGTCTTACTAATTCTTCTAAGTGGATCTGGCCTCTGTGTCTGGCTTCCTCATCCATCCGAGCCCCCAGGGAATGGGGAAAGGAGGACTTACTTTCTGGGTGGAAAGGTGAGGATGCAAGGAAAGGTGAGGATGAAAAGAGACCCAGAAACNCCCTGGAAGAGCCAATCATGTCCCTCACAACAATTCAAAAATTATTCGAGAGCCATAAATATATTTTTACATAATCATTATGTGAATAATATCCTTTAAAATTTTTATAAATGAAACTATGATAGTTTTATTTTCATTTTCAATTTTACTTCAGAGCCACAGTTTATGAGCCGCAGTTTGCTGACCCCTGGTGCCTCTTCCGTCTCAAAAGTTTGCCGACCCCTGCCCTAGAGCATGTTTTTCCATCTTTCTGTAATCAACCCCAAACTGCATGCAGGGGCACAATACACCACAAAATTTTACAGGTTACCTCCCCCTAAAGCCTGTTGGGGTCCCTGGTTCACTGAGTAGTAATCTGTACCCCATAGGAAGTGACCCAGGAGTGTCTGGTTTCCCCACTGAAATCAGTAACCATGGGATACTGGGCTAGGCTCTGCCCTTGGAAAGTCTGTTGGGAAGACAGGACAGGGTCCCATACGATTCATACGCTCTTGCCCAGGGTGCCCAGCCAGCCTTACTGTAATTGCTCAGAGACTCTAAGGAGCCAGGACTGCCTGTTGTAGCCTAAGAGCCTCATTCATGTATTCAAAAATGTTACAGAGAGCCTCAGTACAGAGCTGTACACACAATACATAACTCTGCCCTTGCACGTAGTACATTTCAGCAGGAGATGCTAAGCCACTAGCTCCACAAGTTATTTAATTATAGTAAGGGCTCACAGGGCACGACTGGGGATAGCTCCTGGAGTCAGGTCCTTGAGTAATCCTGCAGGAGGAGCACTAAATAATTGAGCAAAGCAGACAGAGGCAGTAGCCAGGAGAGTACCTCAGGGTAGCACAGCCATGGTAAAGGGCTGTGTGGTAAGGAGGGCAAGCAGTTAAGAAAGCACAATGCTTGTGAGGCTACTATTCACAGAGCTGGGGGAAGGGAGACACAGGACCATCAGGGAGGTCAGCAGGCCCAGGCTGGGAGATGCGGCTTTAGTCAGAAAGCAAGGAGATGCCTGTAAAGGGCTTTAAGCAGGAGAAACCAGTCAGACCTGTACTTCCATAGGTGGGGACAATGGCCAGAAAGGCCAGGTGAGGAAAGACCTGGGGAGGACAAAGATAGAGCTGAGAGCCCCTAGGCAGGGAAATCACCAAGGCCCGGCTTAGCTATAAGGTGGGCTGGTGGGCTGAGGGAAGGGCTGCAGAGCCCAAAGCAGTTTCTCAGCAGCTGTTGCCTGACTGCCAACCTGCCAGGGGAGGGGGCTGCCGCGGGAGGGTTTCAGATGGTCATGCTGCCTGAGCTTGAGCCAGGCTTGGGGGATGGATAGAAGGCAGTGAGGAGAAGGGGCAGCTCACAGGATGAAGGCTCCATAAGCCGAAGTTTAGAGGTGGGGCCATGTAAAGCATGTGTGGGGATGTGGGAACAGCCCATTAATGGAGACAAAATTTGACATGGAATAGAGGGAGCCAAATAAGCAGCCATTTCAGGAGGTTCTGCCCCCAACACATGTACAGTGGGGCTCCCTTACCTTACTATTTGGGCAGATCAGGAATGCCTGATGCCACCATTTGGCTCTTGCAGTATTGAGAGTAGTTGGGTGGGATTGGAGAGTGGTAAAAAGTGGAGCTCATTGAGTCCAGGCCCCAAATGACACTTCTCCAGCCAAGTTTAGATGGTGCCTCTTCCGTCTCAAAAGTTTGGTCCCACATGGCAGCAGCAGCTTGATGACAGGTTGAGGGGCTACTGAAGTGGTATTTCCCAGAATGGGGACTCACTCACCCACTCGCTAACCCATCCATCTATGCATTCCTCAAGTCTGTGCCCAATGCTGTCCCAGGGAACTGAGATGGGATGCTCTGCCCACAGTAACTCAGTCTGCCTAGGCCTGATGTGGGCACCTGCAGGCTGGCACAGAATGGAGCCAGCGCACTGAGTGCCAGCCCAGTGAAGGACCCAGCAGAAAGGCGTGCCTCCCTGCCCTGCTCATTTTCCATTCACGGTTCCCTGCAGGAACTATGTGCCACCACTGAGTGGGCCTCCTGTACTGCTTTGTACCCTTCCCTGAGTGACACGGGCACCAGGCCTGACTTCTTTAGCTCTTCCAGGGAAAACATAATTGCCAATAAAAACAATACAGAAAGCCTGGCTTGTTGATCATAACTCTCCTGACCATCCTCACTGGGGTCTCCTGTCCAAGGATCAAAAGTGGGGTCTCCTCTATCCTCCGCCAAACGATGCAGCCTCCCCTGGGTCCTGAGTGTGACAGCAGGCCCGGACCACTGCCCACCTCCACCCTCGGCTCTCCTCACTGCCCCTGTGAGCCAATTTCATCTCCATCTCCCCTCGCTGCCCCCACCTTACTCTCCTCTCCAAGCCCCGACCAGGCTCTGGATCCCATCAGCAGGCTCTCTCCCCGCCGGGCCTGTTTGGCAATGGTTTGTTCCTCCCTCCTCCTTTGGCCAGAGCTCTGGCCACGTCTCCCTTGCCTCAGGTCTCGCCAGGTTCTAGCAACACTCTCTCCTTCAGGTCCAGGGGCTCTCCTGGAGCCCACCTTGCCTTGTAGGCTGCCCAGCCCTGAGTGTGCCATCTGCACTGGAAACACCACCCTTAAGGCTCCACCACAAACTCATATTTCCCAGCCTCTCAGGCGCACACTAGCTTATCTTAGCCTCTCAAAGCTTTTAATCTCTACTACAGCAGAAGGAAATTGAGATTTGACCCTCAGGCAAACTCCGGGATGGTTCTTTACTGTAGTAAAGTGTTCACATCCTGCAAGCACCTCTGGTGGTGAGATGTGTCCTGACCTCCACAGCCCACTGGTATTCAAAGACCAAGAACAAGGGACATCCTGTTTATTTATGGCACACTCTCTCTCTTCCAGGTGACCCCACAGTCCTGCCAGGAAGTTTACATCATCTCCATTTTAGAGTGGAGGAAACCAAGGCTCCGATTCATACATGGATATGCCCAAGGTCACTGAGATCTTAAGAGGTGGGTTGGGGTAACAATCTAGGCTGTTTAACTCCAAAGCCTGTGATTTTTCTCACATTGGGCTGTGGGTGCAGAGGCACCAAGAGAGTCCCCCAGAGTCAATGGCAGGGTGGTGCCTGCACGAGCTGGAACTGTCCATGAGATGAGGCGGCCCGTCAGGAGCGGCCTGGGTTGAGCATTGCCCGCCACATCTGCAGCACGGAGTCCCGGCGGGTCGTGTAGGGTAAATGTTTGATGCGGAACCAGTGTCTGGGAATGACATTCCCGCTGGGCGCATACAACTTCTCTCCAGGGCTTCCCAAGAGACTGCGCAGGGCCAGGTTGGCCGATAGAACCTTCTCATAGAACTCCACTCCACCCCGGGAATAGGCTGCAGACAGGGAGGCAGTGCGGCTGTCCAGCCAGGCTTCCAGAGCGTGAGTGAGAGAGTCTGTGGAG